CTACCAGCTTCATATGGGGGTGTGCTCCCTCAGTGAGAGCTCACAGGGCTGCAGATCTGGGAGGTTTTGGAAGGCCACGCAGTTCAGAGAGTGAGATGCGCAAAGATGCGTTCATAACTGCTCTTGATGTCCCCATTGATATGTTCTACCTATTAATCCATTTGGCCTAATTAATCCTTAATGCAGACCAAGGTTGTACAATTTTGGGGGTGATTAAATATTCTTTCTTCTCTCTGTCACTCTAGAAAGCTCACCAATAATGTAATTTCAGTTAGTTAGAAGTCTGGATAACAGAGCATTCTGCAATACAAAACAATGTTTATAAAATGTCACTGTGGAAGGAGCCTTAGAGACCAATACCCAGCACCATGAAGATATTTTTAAATGGTGCCAAATAAAAAAGTGTCAAGAAAAAAATTAAGTCTATAGCACACTATAATGCATGTAAATTAAAAATCCATATACCAAACAATATTCATATCTTATAAAACTACCCATCTACTCAAGTATAAATATCTTTCATACTGATGTGCTTGCCCATTGGGAGAAAAGGGATTCGTGCTGGGTGTGGAGACATCTGACCCAAGGACAGCCCTTCCATAGCCAGGAGGAAAGGTGGCCATCCAGCCTGGTTTGCCTAGGACTGAGGGGCTCCCAGAACCCAGGACTTTTAGAGCTGACCCTGGAGAAGGCCTGAGCCAGGAGGACCAGTTAGTCACTCTAGCCGGAGGGGATTTATGCCATGTGGCCAGGTTCAGAACCTCAGCATGGGCAATCAGATCATCTGTCAGAAACAGGGAAACTGAAAGACTGCCGAAACTATGAGCAAGTAGAGGACACTGATTATATTTTAGGAAAACTGACTTTCAGTAGCTTCCTCCTTAAACGCCACTGTTGCCAGTGGCAGATCCTTGTGGAAAGTCTTTCCAGATGCTTCTGTTTGCCACTGACACATCTGCTATCATCGCCAAGGAGACGGCTATAGCAGAGGGCTCTTTCTTTGGTGCTGAAGCCAGTTCTCTGTACACCAGTGCTGCTAATCTTCCAAATTAAAAAGAAATGAGCAAAATCCAGCACACTTAAGAGTTCAAGTTGGAAAAACCAAGAGTGACTCCTACTGACTTCTGCCTTACATCTTCTGGAGCTCGTGAAGCTCTATCAGCCAAAGATGGGCAGCAGATTGTTTTCCCCACTGACAGCTGCGACAGCAGTTCCGTTTCTTGTTCTCTTCTTACGTCATTACTCTGACACTGCTGTCATTAACTGGTGGGGGCTGTGTCCCCTGCCCTTAGAGCAGGTGGGCTTCTGTGACTGTCTCATAGAGTATAGCGGAAGCTACACCATGCAACCTCCAAGGCTAAGTCATCAAACACAGCTGCCACATTGTCCTCTGCAGCTCTGGCTCTGGAAGCCTTAGTTACCCTGTAAGCTGTCTGACTGTGCAGGGCAGCCATGCTGTGAGGAAGCCCAACCTGTTCCCCATGCAGGAACCACACAGAGAGGCCCTGAGAGACAGCATGGAGAGAGACAGATGCCTGGCCAGCCCCCAGCTGCTTCAACCCTCCTCTCTTCCAACTCTAGCCAGCATGGGACTACGTGCATGAGCAACCCTGAGCTGCAAGTGACCAGCCAAACTCTTCCCTAATTCCTGGCCCAGAGACCCACAGTTTATAAGAGATAATAAAATGATTGTGTTGCTTTAAGCCACCAAGTGTGGGGTGATTTTTACACATCAGTAGATACCAGGAGCAGCTGGCCTTGAAGAGGTGATGAAGCCTGTGGCTTGATCTCTCCTCAGAACCATGGCTGCGACAGCAGGATTGGACAGACCTAGCCAAGGGCAGCAGGCCGTCCCACACCAAGCCAGGAATATGACTGCACATTTGTGTGAAAGGCAGACTGGGGATATCTTAAAAAATAATTATTCATTTTACCAAACAATTAAAAAAATATTTCATGTATGGAAATATTTCAAATAAGTTAAAGGAAATAATTTTTTATTTGCAAGAATTGATCTTGATTCAACCTCCTCTTGGGAACATGCATGATCCACCATCAGCAATTAAAAGCAGCTGTTTTCTGTGTCTCTAGGCACTGGAACCCCAGGTGGCCAGCCCTGAGGCTGGCAGACACAAAAACTGTGTACAGACCATAGACTGAACACAAGACTGCATGAACAGGCAAAGGGACAGAGCCTCTGCTAATAACTATTAATAACCCCAGGACAGGCAGAGGATGGAGGGTAAAGGGGGAATCTTAGGGCTGCACATTTTTCCTTAAACAAGAGAAGTTGTGAGTTTTAGCTGGACATGTAATTGTTTGGGCAGAGAACATTTAATTCCAATCTCCCTTCTCACCAGGTGTAGCCATATGACTAATTTCTGGATAACAGGAGGTGAGTGGATTATCATTGCACTCGTTTATTTAGTCTTTCATTTAGCAGCATTCATTGACCACTCGTGGTATGCAGAGTATGGCAGAAGATCTGGGTCCTATAGTCAAGAAGTTTCTGTTGCAGTAGGGAGGACTTACTTGCAACCACAAACTCTGCTCCCAGACAGAATAAAAAATGAATTACAATGAAGTTAAACACAAACATCTAGAGTATAGAGAAAGGAGTGATTAGTTTTGAGGAGGTGATCAGGCGAGAAAGGTATACAGGGAGGTAGCATTTCACCTAAGCCTCCAAAGGTGGTAGGATTTTGGTAGCTAAGGATTCAGGGGAGGGCATTCCAGCAGAGGGAACAACACGTAAAAGGCACACACTCCAGGATGCAGGTTGTGCTCTCTGGCATACCTAGGAACCATCCTGTCTCCTTCGGTAATTTTGCTCCTCTCTGTTCTGTCCAACATGTGCTGAGCAGATTTTTTTTTTAGGTTTAATTCTCAGAAGGCAATACTATTTCCCTTATTTGTGTACTTCTGGAAGGAAGCCCTGTTACAGCCCTAAATATTGATAATAAAACCATTAGTGTTACTTATGGCAACCACCACAGGGACCTGCTATGGGAAATGGCCATGGGAATGACAAGTGCACTCACTGGCCTCTTTAGCCCTAACTTGGCACCATCTTCAGACAGGAAAAGCCAGTCTAGTTTAAATTGCCTCCATGTAATAGTACCTCTGAGGCACAAACCTATGTTGCTTGGACATCTGCCTTTGAGCATGTCAGTTGCCCACCAAGAACAGGCTCAGGAATGTAGCCCACTTCATAGCCCGTGTCCCGAACTGTCTGCCTCAGGCACAGGGCCTCTTTTATTCATTTTTATCTGTGGATGGGCCCTGAGGTGATGCTTTGCACAGAGGTCAATCAATGTTTCTGAAACGGAATTTGGTCTACCTGCTGTGTCACTCTCTTCCCAAAGAGAATGGATCCCAGTGAAGTCACAAACATTTTTAAAAGATATTCAGGACTGAAATGCAGGAGTTGGCTACAATGGCTACAGGCCATGAGACTTCTCCCTAGAGATGAAGGAAGTAACAGCAAACTCTAAAAGGGGGTGTATCCTGGGAAAGTCAATGGCTCACCCAGAAGGGTGCTGCCGGTCTGCTTTGCCCTGGGGGTTCTGCGTGTGTGACCCGCCTATCCATCTCTCAGTGGGTTTTTATGGGTCCTTCTTCATACCTTCCTCTGCCTTGCTGCTCTTTCCATGCGTTTCAGGCACTTCATGGCTTGACTTGCCTCCTAATCTCAGATCCCCCACATTTCTTTATTCTCCTCTCCTTTCTGACTTTCTTTCTGAATTAACTGTGATTAGAAGTAGGCCTAGATCTGCATCTACAAGTACGATGAGGTGTATGTTTTCTGTCCTTTTTTTATTGAAGCATAATTGACATATTACATTAGTTTCTGGTGTACAATGTGTACCATGTCATGATCTGATATTTGAATTCATTGTGAAATGAGCACAGTAAGTCTAGCTAACAGAGGTCACCAGACACAGTTAAAAAATTTCTTTCTTGTGATAAGAACTTTTCAGATTTATTTTCCTGGCAACTTTCTAATACAATATTAGTAACTATAGACACTCATTTCTAAAGATGTGAATATAGAATGCGTAGTGGATGAACGGTCCAAGTGGTGCTGCATCTAGGACCCCGCAGCACCCGCTCTTGGCCTCCCTCTTTCATTCGTCCATCTCAGAGAAGTCTCTTCTTGCTAAACAGCCTCCGCATGAGTAATGATCTCATCCCCTCCTGTTTGCTCTCTTAAAAATCTTGATTCCTCTGTCCTAGCCTCTCCCCTAGTTTCTGAGCACGCTGAGGTCTCCAGACACCAAAAACCCTCTCCTCCTCTCCTTACCTCATGCGCTCTTCCTCAGCCTTCACACTATTGCACCAAACTTCCTGAAAAATCATTTGTGTGCTGTGCCTCCATTTCCTCTCTTCCTGGGCAATCCCCAAGCCCTCCACCTCCCCGCCACCTCAGGAAACTACTCTGGCCCTGATTCCCCAAGCCCAGGGAGCAGTGAGCCTTTCCGGCCCTTAACCTCAGGGAAGCTTCTGTAACATCTCCCATCTGCTACCGCACATTTGTCTGGAAGCCAGTTCTGTCACCTGGGGAGGCGGGGCCTTCACCCTCTCCTGCCTCAGACTCTTCTCTTCCCTTCACTGGCTCCTCCCCCTACTTGCTAACGGTGCACTTTCTGAAGGAAGTGCTTCTGGATTTCTTACCCTCCCTTCATAATGTTCAAGACCTCACCACCCAAGGCTCTGGGCAGTATCTCAGTGAGTTTGAGGTCTGAGAGCCATTTTATGCAAAAATGTAACCTTTTGTCTGGTGTGAGTAGCCTTTTTGTAAGGTGCCCTGTGAAAACCTGGTTCTCACTGTTTAGCAAACAGAGCCACCTGGGCCTTGTTTTTCCTGTGCCTTTGCCTCCTGTGCTTTAGCTTAGCTGGCAAAATTCAGCCAGGGAGCACCCATGCAGGCTCAAAGAACAGTCGGACAGTGCAAGGGTGGTAACTAGTTAACCATCCACTTCCTTCCTACCAACAGCAGCAGGGAAGTGCCTCAGCGCCCTGCTCCTGACACAACCTGTTTTGAGACCCTCTCTGCCCCAGGAAGCAGCCCAGGAAGCCAGGGGCCAGCAGAGCTGCAACCAGGTATTCATAATGCTCTTTGTTCCTGGAATTCTGTTCAAAAAACAGCACTTAGAAGAATTTAGAGAAAATTGTGACTCTAGCCATGTCTTCACAAATGTCCTTATCTAAGGAAAAATTTGTAGACTTTGGGCAAGCCATAACACCTCAACATTAATTTTTTGTCCCCAGTTATTATTATTATGGAAAGTTGGTGGGAAATGTTGAAAAGTCAGGAAAGTTGAAAGTACAATGAGAATCTTTATATCCCTATCTTCTTCAACAATTATTAATATCTGCCACATTTGTTTAATCTCTTCATGTATATTTGTGTACATATTTTTGTTCTTATTGTACCCCTTAAAAGTAAGTTGCAGACATCATGACATATCAATCCTAATTACTTCAGCATGCATCTCCTAAGAATAAGGACATGCTTCTACCCAGCTACAATAATATTATCACAGCTAAGATTAGCAGTCATTCTATAATGTCATCTAAGAGTCAGGCCATATTCTAATTTTCCAATCATCCCTAAGAATCTTTTAGAGCTTGTTTTCACCAAATTAGGATCTGATTGAGATTCATACATTACATTTGGTCTTTAGTCTATTAAAAAAAATCTTATTGAAGTAAAATTAACATTCAATTTTAATACATACATTTTAAATGTACAGTTTTAGTTTTTAAATATATATATATCTATATCCTTCCAATTAAAATGTAGAAAATGTTCCTTCATACTACCTTTGCAACCAATCGCCCCTTCACCCGCTGCTGCAGGCAACCACTGATCCGATTTATATCACTACGGATAGCCTTGCCTAGTCAAGGACTTCATAAATCCAGTAATACAGTTTATTGCCCTTTGTGTTTGGCTTCTTTTACTTAGCAAAATATTTTTGAGATTCATGCATGTTATTGCATAAATGAGTAGTTTGCTCCTTTTTATTGCTGAGTTATGCTCCACTGTGTGAATATACCAGATTGTTTATTCATTCACTCACTGATTAACAAATAGTTTCCAGTTTTAAGGCTATTATGATTAAAGCTACGATTATGACTTAAGCTATTATGAACTATAAATTATGAATTATGAACTGTATATTACAATTTAAGCTATTAGTATGAACATTCCTGCACAACTATTTTTGTGGACCTGTATTTTCACTTCTCTTGGGCAAAAATCTAGAAGTAGAATTTGCTAGATCATATAGTTAGTGTATGTTTAAGTTTCTAAGAAGCTGCCAAAATGTTAACAAAGTGTTTAAAACATTTTACACTCTTACCAGGAATATATGAGCATTCTAGTTTCTCTACATCCTCACCAATGCTCAATCTAATCAGTCATTTTTTGCCATTTTACTGGGTATGTAGTAGTATCTCAGTGTGGCTTTAATTTGCATGTCCCTGATAACTAGAGATGTTGTACAACTTTTCATGTGTTTATTGAATATACATATATACATTCTTTTTGTGATGTATCTCTTCAAATATTTGCCCTTTTAAAAATTGAGTTGTCTTTTTGTTACTGAGTTATATATATATGTCCTTTACCACGTTTATGTATTACAAATATTTTCTTCTAGTCAATGATTTGACTTTTCACTTTTTTAATGGTATCTTTTGAAAAGCAATTTTTAATTTTGATGAAGTCACTTTATCAATATTCTCTTTTAAGATTGGTGCTTTTTTCTATCCTAAGAAATCTTTGCCTACCCCAAGGTTAGAAATATTTTCACCTATGTTTTATTCTAGAAGTTTTGTAGTTCTAGTTTTTATATTTATGTTTATAATCTATTTAGCATTAATTTTTATATATAGTGTGAGACAGGAGTTAAGAATTTTTCATACATATATTTAGTTGTTCTAGCACCGTTTATTGAAAAGCCTATTTTTCCCATTGAAACAACCTTTGTAAAAAAAAATCAATTGAATATATATATATATGTACATGTATGTATGTATGTCTACCTCTGGACTCTATTCTAGTCCATTGTCTATCCTGTGCCATTATCACTATTTTGAATGTCTTGATTTACATCATTTTATAGTAGGTCTTATAGTCAGTGTGTAAGTCTTCCAAATTCATTCTTATTTTCCAAATTATTTTGCATCTTCCTGTCCTTTATACTTTCACACAAAGTTTATAATAAACTCCCTATTTTCTGTTTTTTAAAATGGCTGTTGAGATTTTGATTGGGATTACATTAAATCTATAAATCTACTGGGGAAAACTGACATTTTAACAATATTGATTTTTCTAATCCATGATATTATAAACCTATCTGTTCATTTGGAGACTATTTCATTTCTTTCAACAGTGTTTTGTTTTCAATACACAATTCATAAATATATATTTATATATAAATTCATTTAAAGAATTAATTTTTAAATGTTATAAACAGTATTTCCTTTTCTAATTGTTAATGCTGAAATGCAGATATACGGTTGGTTTCTGTATATAGACCTTGTGTCCATCATCCTTGCTTGATCTACCTTTTGGTTTTAGTATCCTTAATATTTTCTAGGATCACACCGTGTTTTACTCCTTCCTTTTCAATATGTCTGCTTTTTCCCCCTCACCTTTTTGCACTGGCTAGGACCACAGCAAAATGTTGAATAGAAATGGTGAAAGAAAACATCCTTCCTTGACTCTGATCCTAAGGGGAAATATTCAGTCTTTTACCAAAAAGTATGATGCTAGATAAAGGTTAATAGATGTAGAAGAAGCATTTTGCTAAATTCAAAATCCACTAATTAAAATCCATAAAAACTCTCAGTAAATTTGGAACCAAAGTCAAAAGCATCTTTGTTGTCTCTTTTAAGATTGCTGAGTTTTGTTTCCACAAGCAGTTAATTTATATGTGCATTAACTCAATTCTTTTGAGACTTGTTTTTAAGCTTTGTTGATGCAGATCTGTAGTAGCAGGGTAAGCCCTCATCTTGAGCTGTGGCCTTTCTGGTAGTCTATGCAAAGCCCTTGGTGTTCAGCGAGGCCTTTACACACTGGTTGGTCAACATGCAAGCATCTACCAACTCTGTGAGCTCCAGGAGTTACTGTATTTACAGCTGCATGGTAGCCTTTCTTTCCCAGGTAGTTGTTTTTTACTTAACTGGTAGTGACTTCTCTCTAAATGTGTACAACTTGTAGCCAAAGAGTCAAAGGGTGTCCCATAGCCTGCAACAACTCGTCTGCGTAATTTCTTCCTCTAAGATGTTCTACCCTGAAAATTCCAGCTGCCTTACCTCCCAGAACTCCAATATCTGTCTCATCAGCTCAGTAGGACCTCTGTATTCTGTTCGCATCCCCCTTCCAGGGTTGGGCTCCAAGAAGACCTCTAACAGAAAGCCTGGTGACAGTTAAGTCTCACCTCGTTTGTTTCCTTTCTCTCGGAGCATCCAGCCCTGTGCTGCCAATGATTTTGTCTGAAAACAATTATCTAATATATTTTATACAACGTTCTAATTGTGTATGGCAGAATGGCTAGCCAGTACTACTTACTCTGTCACTGATGGAAGCAGAAGAGTCACTGATCTCTTTTAACTTAGCACAGGGGTAAACAAAGTTTTTCTGACAGGGTGAGGTAGTAAATCTTTTAGGTTTGCAGGCCACACTGTTTCTGTTGTAATCATTCAACTATGTCATTGTAGCACAAATGGGGCAGGACCATTGAGCAAAAGCACAGAAAAGTCCAATGGTAGGAAAGCCAATGCCTCACTCTATTTTTATGAGCCAGGGGCAAAGGGCTTAATTTATCTGAAATAGTTGTGCAAATGAAGATTCACCAGTCCCTCAGACTCAATGAAATAGAATCTCTAGGCGAGGTCCAAAAATCTTCATTTTAACCAGCTCCACTGTAAAATAGGTCAAAGGAAAGCAGGTGTGATGAAAGTCAGTTCCTAAGTGGAAGAAACCATCTACCTGAGAGGAGGCTGCATTGTCCTCTAATTTGCCACAGGGCCTCCCAGTAAGGTAGACATCACTCACTGCCCAAGGGCCAGGCCCTTCTGTTTTAAAAGAAAAAGCATCATGTCCTCAGAGACTGTGGTAAGTGAAAAATATGTCCACAGATCTTTTGAGACAGCTCTCTTCAAAATGTAGAAGTTCATTCCTCTCCCCTTGAGTGTTTGCCAGACTTAGTGACTCGCTCCCAACAAAAGGAATACAGTGGAGACTAGATCCTTAGAAACATTGCAGCTTCCCCCTGGCATTCCCTGAAATTTCTTGTTCTGGGGGAAGCTGGGTATCATGTTGGGAAGACACTTTAGCCACCCTATGGCTGTCCCATGGAAATCAACTCAGGCCTCCTATCAATAGCCAGCATCCACTTCCAGCCCTGTGGATGACCATCTTAGAAGCGGCTCACCAGCCCCTGGCCAGTCAAGCCAGAGGACCGTGGCCCTGGCTCTCATCTTGACCATAACCTCATGAGAGACCGTAAGCCAGAATAACTCAACCGAGCTGCTCCCAAATGCCTGACCCACAGACACATGTTGGATAATATTTACTGTTGTTTAAAGCTCTTTTATGGGGGGTAGTTTGTTATGTGGCATCAGGTACTACTACAGGAACTTCATAAATAGTTTTAGGACCACTGCTGCTGGGATGATGCTAGAGAACCCTATCTGCCACTCCATTTGAGGCAGCCAGTTTGAGAACAGCACCATGAAAGACTCTGCATGCTTCCCTTTTCAACACATGTATCTTCTCAATTGGCTGCTGACCTCACAGTGAAATTTCCAGGCAGAAACTTTTACCAGCCTCCAAAGAACCAGGAGTTGGGGCATCCACCCCCTAGTTGAACTATGTTTGGGGATGACGCCACTACCCCTTCCTTACCCACAGAGTGTTCTTTTGAGACTTCTGTCTGAATGTAAGGCAGCTGGGCAGCCCCACTTCTCACTGGGGAACAGCTTTCTTTTCTCAATGCAGGGCCAACAGTGCATGTGGGTATCAAAACTGCAGCCTTTGTTTCATTAACACCATGTTCTATAACACCAGATGACTGGCCGTGATTTTAAAAAATAACAAAACAATGCTTTGGTGCCAAAATACTCCAATCAACTCAATAGGGCCTATGAAGAAAAATTCAAAATTAAGGGATCACCAATGCTTGGTTTAGAGTGAGTTTGTGGGTGATGGAGCAAAGTACAATATTGTGATGTTTCCTTGTTGGTTTGATTTTGTAGTTGAGATCTCTCTGATAGGGACAAGTGAAAAGTGACTTGGCATCAAGAAAGATTTGAGTTTGTTTTTCTTAAATTGGACTACAGCCCAGTAAGTAATGGGCAAAGAATGTAAACAGATAATTCACAGAAAAGAAGATTCAAAAGGCTAACATTTGAAAAGATTCTCAATTTCTCTCATAGTTAGAGAAATGTAAATTAAAAATGCCCTGAAATACAATCTCTTGCCCTTCCAATTGGCAAAAAGCTAAAAGTTGGATTTGGATAACATACTCTGTTGAAGCTGCAAGGAAATAGTTGCTAATAGGAGTGAAAAATGGCACATAGCTTATGGAGAGAAATTTGGCAATATCTAACAAAATTCCATATGCATTTACTTTTTAATTAGTGGTGTCACTCCTAGAAGTTTGCAGTAAAGATACACAAATAAAAACAACATAAGTACAAAGTTATTCAATGTGACATTCTTTATAATATTAAAAGATTAGAAAAAAGCTAAATGTCTACAATTATAAGAATGGTTGAACAACCTATGGTATATTTACCAAAGGGGTACTATGTAGCTACACAAAAAAATGAGAACTATCTCTACATATGGAGTGATTGCCAGGAGATATTATTAAGTGAAAAAAGCAAGGTACAGAGCAGCATATGTGTGTGTCACACACACACACACACAGATATATAGCCATATATATTAGTATATATTACATGTTATACTATATAATTTACAATATACTAATATATACTGCAACTATATATAACCATATTATACATTAGTGTATATGTATTGCAATATAAATATTAGTGGGTGGATGGAACAGGGTAGATGAGAAAAGGTTGGAACCAAGACTTCTCTACATATACCTTTTCATATAGTATGTTTTATATGTTTAAAAATAAAATTAAAAAACAAAATTAACCTTAATATTAAATATAAATGGAAATAAATGATGCTAATTGTGTATCACAGTAATATAAGAGCGAAGAAAAATAATTCTTTAAATGACTTTCAACATACTACTCTGTTTACATATGTTCTTAGTGTGATACATTTTAAGGATTTAAAAACCTTCAAAAAAATCTTTTACTTTACTCAATAGTTTTATTAGTAGCAATACTGAATTATAACTCAAAGAGAAGAAGAATTCCAAAGCCAGCAACCTACTATAAAAAGAGAAGACCCTCGGTGCTGGACTGCAAACCTAGTTCCTTTCCTGAGCCGAAGGGCACCCCAGAAATGCGCCAGTGGGGATGCAGGGCAGTGACATGCCCATGGCCACATACAGCTGGGTGCCAAGGTCCCTTCCCAGTGCACAGCCATGAAGAGCACAGACCTGGCAAAGGGCAGCGGGCCCTGCCAGATTCTACCCCTGGGAACAGTAACGTGTTACTTTTCTCAGAGCGCGGGGAGGCAGCAGGGGAGCAGGTGGGCTGGGCGCTGTGCTGTGTGCCTTCATCAGCCCTCCAGGCCCCTGGGGGGAAACAGCCCAACCAAAAATGCTGAGAGCATCAGGCCAGGCTCCTGGAAACTCCACTGCCCAGCAGCACCAGGCAGGAAAAGAGTTTCAGAGCCTAGGGAAAGAAATCCTGGAGGCAACTTAGCGCCTGAGGGCCTGAAGGCCAGAGCCCCACAGCTGCCATCTGGCAGGGCCTGGGGGACTTGGACATGGGGAAGTGGTCACTCCCATATGGGATCTGGGGCACCAGGAGGACGCTGAGTTTAAGAACCACAGCCCCTGTGGGGCTGGCTTGGGTTCTCCCCAAGGCTCTCCATCATGCTCTCCCGATCCCATAGAAAACACAGGCTGCTTCCTTTGGGGAAACCCCACATAAATAAGACATTTGACCCATTCTTTGTGGGTAGGCGGGATTCCCTCACTAGCTTAAGGAAAGGTGGTTCACGGATGTTTAAGGAAGTGTCTTGTGCATGCTTTGGCACACAATAGCAGTGTGGCTCATCACCCCGACCACCCGCCCTGCCCAACTTCTGGCCCCTCAGGCTGGAGCAGCCTCTGGGAGAACACAGAGTAGTTAAATTGCTGCCCACATCCCTTCCTCATTGGGTCGCTGTCTGCGCCTCTGCCCCCCTTCAGAGAGGGAGGGAATGAACCCACAGTGTGCTCCCAACACTGGGCTCACTTAAACCTGAGGGCCAGGGCACCCCAACCTTCCCCCAACCCTCCCCCAACCCCAACTGAGATAGGCAGCATCTTCAAATGGTCACCTGCTTCACCCAGCTGGAATCTCCCCAACTCCCCCAAAGCATTCCTTATTAGGGAATGCTGCATCCAAGTTGTCCACTTCATTCCTGTTGGGGTACACCAGTTGCCAGCATGCATGAGACTCCAAGAATCCTAGGTATGCAAGATCCCAGGAGGGCTCATGGCATGAAGCAGACCACTCATGTGTGGGTCCCCACAACAGTCAGAGGACATTGCACCACTCCGGCCCACCCACCACCCACCACCCCATGGTGTGCTTCCTGACTTCTCTCTTCTTTGGAGAAGATCAGGGTTTCCTGCATCCACAGTGGCAGCGGCAGAGTCCAGCCCACCACACTGACCTGAGAACTCTCAGCTGGGCCCAGCAGGGGCTGGGAGGCACCCACAGGAAGGATCCCAGGCCTGGGAAGCTCTCAGACTAGTCTCCGCTTGGACAATCTCTAGCATTTTCCATTTCAACCCAGCTAATATGCCCTCCCACTCTGCCTCAACTTGACAAGCGTCACTGATGCTCCAGCTGTAGAAATGCAGCAGTTTTGATCTCTTTCAACCCAAAGGGAACAAAGATAAAACCATGCTTTCTATAATAAATGAGTCCAAATTTAGGACTCCCCATACGAGAGAGGAAAAGGCAGGTGACACAACTCTGACTTTGTTTCCCCACTGTCCCGGGGCTCTCTCCTGAATCACAGAGAGAACTTCCTAAGAGGCTCGAACCGGGAGACTGTGGGAAGCCCCTGTCAGCTCTGGAGACTGTCGCCCCACATCCTTCCCCTCAAGGGCCCTGAGGGTCTGGAAGTCTGAAGGAGCTCATGATCTCAGGTAATCTAGGCCAACACATGTCTCTGCAGTTTTTATTTCTAATCCACAAGCAGGGATTCCCAGGCGATAAACATTACCCCCTGGAGATTTGGAATTCATTTTGGCCAGTCTGGAATGAGACTCAGGAAGTTATTTTCAACAATTTTTGTTCAAAAAATTTTCAGCAATCATTGTGTATCTTATCATCATAGTTCCTTACAGATTGCGCAAGACTACCATCTCTCTCTGCCCAGCTACCTCTTGAAGCTACTCCCTGTCTCTGGATCCATCCCTTTCCTACGACCTGCCCTGGAATGTTGACCCCCTTCCAGGGAGACCCATCACCCATGTGGCTGCAAGCCTCTGCACCACAACCACTCAGAGGACCAACAGTCATGTCTCACAAGGATGCCACAGCGGCCTCCTCAGCCCCTCCTTCCCCTCTCCCCACCCCACGCCGCTCCAGACTCTCAGATGGAAATCAGATGAACACATACCTGCCTGACCTCTCAGCTCTCATTCTGTGAAAACCTGCCCCCCTTGACAGGTCCCATACTTCCTTGGCTCATAAATTGAAGAATTCCTAAGGGGACCTCACCTAATCAAAAACTGCTTTAGTTTCAGTAGAATTGGTTGACTGGATTAGTCCATTTAACTGATCCTAGGAGAGAGCAAAGAATTCGCAGGAAGGGGTTTCCATTGTGTAGAGGCAGCATGGCAGCACAGCCCACCTTGTGTGGGGAGTCCTGCCTGAATTCGCACATCTCGTCACTATTCTCTATGAGAGTGCATTACACCTTCCAACACTAGAGGAGGCAAATCTGGAAAAAGATTTCTTGGGCTACTGATGATAGTGTTTGGTGTTCAGAAATAAGTAACGTACATGAAAAGATGCTCAATATTATTAGTCATTAGGGAAATTCAAATGAAAGCCATCATGAGATGCCACTTCATACCAACTAGGATGGCTATAATAATAATATTTTTAAAAACAAGATAAAGTGTTGGTGAGGATGTAGAAGAATTGGAACTTTCATACACTACTAGTGGGAATGTAAAAATATGCAACCTCTCTGGAAAATAGTTTTCAGTTCCTCAAAAACTTAAACATGAATTAGCATATCATTTAGCAATTCCATGTGCAGGTGCATACCCAAAAGATTTGAAAACAAGTACATTCATTGTACATGAATGTTCATACCTGCACTATTCATAGCTGCCAAAAGGCAGACATAACCCAAATGTCCATCAGTGGATGGATGCATAAACAAACTACATACAGATACAAAGGAATATTATTCAGCTCTAAAAAGGAATGAGGTACTTCTATGTATTATAATGTTGATGAATCTCAAAAACTGCTAAATGGAAGAGGCAGACACCAAATGTCACATAGTGTACGATCCCACTTACATGAAATACCCAGAAAAGGTAAGCCTATAGAGATAGAAGTAGATGGGTGGCGGCAAATTTTGGGGGAGGGAGGGAATGGTGAGTGGCTGCTTAATGAGTAGCAGGTTTAATGTGGGGATGATGAAAGTATTTTGGAATTAGAGAGAGGCAGTGCTGTACAACCTGTGAATGTACTCAGTGCCATGGAATTGTTCACCTTAAAATATTTCATGTTATATGAATTTCATCTCAATGAAACAAAATGTTAACACATATAAAGAAACAGAAAAGTCTACAAGGAGGGTTTTCAGAGGCTGTCATCCTTTGCCAGAGCCTTGATAGGCAAAGGATGCATCTAAATGATTCATTCCAGCTCTGCTGCCTGTGATTTCAGTCCTGCAGTCAACATCCTCACACCTTGGGACCCCTTTCAAGGCTGTGGGTTCTTCTGTCCCCACTTTGCTGAACACTGTAGAGAATGACGGAGGCAGAACACACTTCCCTAACCAGGTCAGACTGATGCCCAAGCACTTCTAACTGCTCATTTAGGTTTAGTAGCATATAAAAGTCAAATACCCAGTTACAAACACCAACTCTTGATTGGTTCTTGATTATATGAGAACTCATAAATGTGCAAAACTAATTCTGCCCACAAGTTTCTGCTTAATTATTTTAAACAAATAACAGCAGAAGGAAGAGGTGATAACCTACCTTTGGTTCTAATTTTAAAATGTGAATCATTAACCTACCAGGGGAAAAGAAACAGAATTTTAAGAGCAGTTCAATCCAATAAATGTCCAGTTTAGAAGTAGATTGGTGCTCCTGGTTCAGACTGCTCCCCTGATTTATTGCAGTGGCAACTTGCATGAAATCAGTCATTACTTCAGGTAAACTATTGGAGCATTAACGCCTTTAAGTCCTGTTTTCGGGCACTTATATGCTGGGTATTACTGATTTTTATGGGATTATGGCTTGTGTGTAAAAGGCATAAAAGTTCACATTTTTGCTATGTCAAATTTTGTTATCAAAGCGCTGTAACTACAGATTTTATATTTTAAAAGTCCAGCAAAACTGCTAATACTTAGTGATTATTTCCTAAGGTTTATATCTAGAATTAAATAAATACATATTACTGTGCCCAACTCTACAAAAGCTTTTGCTCCGTAGCAGCCTTATGAGTAAGTCGGTGACCCAGAGAGTTTGGCACCAGTACATTCTAACAGAAAGGCACATCCTTCTGGACCTCTCCAGGGGAATCTTATTATCAAAGTACCGCAAGAAATTCCTTCTCCAAAGTATCACGTCACTCTAAGGAGGATTCAGGACATAGGGATGCCGGTAACGGTTCCAGTGCGAATTACCTACTTACATTCTTTCAAAATGAAAGTAAGAAAAGAAGAAGAGGAACGAAGAGGAGGAGAGGGAGAGGGAAAGGGAAGATGAGGAGGAAGAAATAATAAAGAAGTGAGGAGAGTGATCTGGTTTCTCTGCCCCAGAAGCAATTGACCTTGGGAACAGAATGGACCGGGCTAAACATTAACCACTGCTGGCCGGCCTTTGACAGCACAGGGTGAGGACAGGCACCTGGGTTTCAAAACCAGCTAGATGGGCTCAAAACCCAACCTTACCATTTAGAAGCAGTGCGACCTTAAGTAAGTTAAACGGCCTCTCTGAGCCTTCATTTCTTCATTCACCCGTCGGAATGATCTTACCCATCTCTTGGATTAGTAGGTCTGAATGTGAGACCTGGCTCAGGTGCGGTGCGAGCACTACCGCCATGCCTGGGAGGTTTGTTACCGATGCTGATGCTGAACCAGGGACATCAGAACGTAGCCGACACTATTGTATTTTTTTATTAAAAAAACAAATTAAATAAAAAGTGATCGATTCTATATAAAATGGAACGGGAGTCCATGGTTCATGGTGGGGAAGGCTCAGAGGATGGAGACAGGGGCATGGTTGCTACAGTTTCTTTTTCTTCATACATGGGAGGCAATTCGGATGAGAGACGTGGAGTGTGTGAGATTGATGAGGATGACACAGTCCCAGAAATTGTATATACAGGTTCATGATCTCTCTCAGACGCTGCACCCTGGCCCTCCAGAGTTGGGGTTCTGCTAGAAAGGAGGAGAGGGAACATGAATGGGAGGCTAGGAAACAGTACCATGCCTCAAGGACAAGGTTCTTGTCAAATATTCAGTTGTGTGCACTTAGGAACGTTTGCAAGGATCTAAGGGGGCAATGTCTTCTATATTCTATTTCTTATAGATATGTTTCAGTTTCTTACCCCTTACTTCCTTACAGATGATTGTAACTTGAGAGAGCCTCTCTCCTGCTGTCATTGGAAAGACACGGTCATTGAAAAAAATGGAGTACAAATAAAATGTGTAGATTGCCCTCCCAAAAGAACACATACACACAGTGCTACTCTTCTCTGCTATTTTGTCTTCTGAGACAGCTAACATACGGTGGACAAACTTGTGCAAATAGAAAATTAAGTCATTAAGCCAAAAACCTGAAGGGAGGCCGGAGAGCACACCGGTCAGTGGAGGGGCTCGAGCGACGGGCAGGCAGCCGTGCATCTCCCTTTCCACTCTGCTGCTTCCTGGTGTGTGCCCTTGGGCAGGCCTGTAAAAGGCTTCACCTCTCTAAGCCTCAGTTTCTTCATTTGTAAAATGGGAATGTTAACAGCGCCTTCCTCCTGAGTGGCTATGAGAATTACATGAAGTAATGCCATTTACTTTAGTTTAGGACCTGGGAAAGTTCATTTGAAAAGAATCCAAAAATTTACTAACAGAAATTCTATAAATGCCTAGAACCTAACCTTGCCTTCACCCACGCAGGACAATTCCAACACTCAGTTCTGGTCAGATCTGCAGCTCACCACCCAGTTTGAAGCACAGGAAGAACACATGCCTTAAAACATGGATGACCGGGTAAGGTGGCAGCCACCCCCATCCCCTCTCTCTGCCTGGCTTGTTGTCCTGCCTTTTGCTGCTTTCAAAACTGCACAAGTCTCAATGTCTGGAAAGTGGGTATTTCCTGAGTCCGGTTCATCCCTCCTGCTTTGCCCTGTGAACTTTTCCAGCAATCCTTCCTTCACTTCCAACACCCTTGTGTCCCATTCAGGAAGGCACCAGAACCTTTTCCAGCCCTGCTCCTCCTTGGCATGCACCAGAGCTCCCTCCTATCACAGCTTCCCATCCAGTGGATTCTCCTGGGGTCTTTGGCTCCTTGACCTCCTGGCCTTAGCAATCTCTTCGTGGTTCCCTCTCCAGCACCCACCTCTCTCCCGAGACCTAGCTTGGCCAGTCTACCTCAGAGGCCCACAGCTCCTCACCCCTCCACCGCAGGTCAGGCGAGCCGCTCACCATCTTCTCCCTGCCTACACTGAGCTCAGGACCCACCCCCTTAGTCAGGGGCATTCCACTGCCCTGCCTCTCACCCTGGACACATCTTGGTCTCTCCTCCTCCTCACCAGCACGCTCCAGTCCAGGGTCCCCCCCACCCCCGACCCCACTCCTCCCCTTCTACCACCAGTCCCAGGCCCCGGTTCCCAGAGGCCTGTCTGTGGGAGCTGGCCTCCTCCAGCCTCTCCCCACTGTGAGCTGCACTACCCACTGCTTGGATCCCCACCGCCCTGTCTCCAAAACCTTCAGCCACGTATGCCTGTCTCTGCCTAAAGGAAAGGCACTTAGACTTATGTTGGTCTGACCTCAAGTGTGCCTCCTAATTTGAGGTACATGAGGAATGTGGAGCCACGAATCTTGTATTTCTCTTCAATCAGAGAAGGCTCTGAGGCCCAGGGAACATAGCTTGGTCGGGTGAGGGTGCAGGCTGATGTTAACCATCACCCAAGTACTCCATTAGACACTGAACCCCTCTGTACCCTGCTGAAGGTCCCTAGGGATCCTGCCTCTCCCCACGATCTAACACAGCCCAAGCCTAACACAGCCGGGGGCCTCCCTGACTGATGGGTGGTTAAGCATTTTGAGGATCACCCCTGATAGGAGCACGCGAAGATGACTGGAAAACAGTTCATATTAACCTGCATATCCACTCTTCTAATATTTATGTATGCGCTGCCCAAAGTTACCTGAAAGGTACTATTAATACTAAGGCAATAATTCTGACATAATGCCAGCAAAAAAAAGATACTCTTACTCTTTCGTTACTCCTATACCATAGATAACTGGCCTGAGTTCAGGCACAGGCTGGGAAAGGTGAAACATGCCTACTGCTGAAGTTCACACAGAAAAAGTCTTACCCGTAGTTAAAAATACTATAGTATGAAGGAGGATTTTCATCTAGAAGCACACGGTTAGCCCCAGGACGTCGAGTTACTGCGGAAGCTGAAGACTCAGGAAAGTAAGGTGGTGGAGGGGGTGGGAATATTATCACAGCATCACCTAAGGAAAGAGAACATTTCACTGAAGGTAAATGAGTAATAAATGCAAGCTAATCAGGAAGAGCAAAATAAACTAATTATATATTTGGCCCATGACATAAAAGGTCAAAACACCTGTGCTATCTCCAGAATTGAAAAGTGGGCCCATCAAGTGCACAGAGACAGAGAGCAGAGGTTTGCAGGGCTGGAGGCAAGAGAACTGGCGTCAGTGTTTAATGGTGCAGGTTTCTGTTCGGGATGATACAAAACTCCTGGAAAGCGATAGTGGTGATGGCTACACTATATTGGGAATGTACTTAATGCCACTGTACATCTAGAAATGATTAAAATGGCATATTTTAATGTTATGGATATTTTACCACAGTTAAAAAAAATAGTTGGTCTTTATTTCATAGCAAGTTTCAACTAAAGCATTTCTATAAAGCATTTGCTAATGATGTCCCTTACCTTCCTTGGGATGTCTCCTGGAAATTTTCTCATTTTCAACCTATAATTTTAATTCATCAAAACTTAGCTGTTAGATAAAGTGCTTTGTTCCCCAAAGGCAAGTTTCAGTCTCGGATAAATGGCAGTAAGCTAGGCTGCAGCCCACCATAGTTGCTGCCATAGCTGTGTTTACACTCTTACAGAATCTTTTATCTGCCAACATTTCACTCAAACTTTACAAAAGAAAGTCAAATGCAAATAAAAGCTTGTTAATTGCACTTCTGTTGCTACTACACTTCACTCCAGAACCTATCTCTAGAAACTAGGGACCAGATGCAAACTCTAACTTGTACTCTGATTCCAATACAAAATGCACCATGTGAGTTTCTCAAAATATTCTAGACATTGGCAGCACGACTATGTAGAGGTCTGAAGGTAGCCTCTGATAAGTTGGCAACACCAAATGACAGCTCAGGAAAATGGTGGAGAGAGGACTTGGCATCCTTGCAGGGAGGAGAGCGCTTTGCCTTTGCACTGGTGGTACAGCGAGCTTACCGAGTGGGTCCAGGATTCTTTAAAGCCGCCAGGCCTCCATGGTCCAGTGACCAATCTAGCACGGCCCTGAACAAGTTGTTTACCCCTTCTCGGCCTCAGCTGCCGTGTCTGGGAATTGCAGGCCATAACTGTACCTGCCATGGAGGACAGGTAGGGCTGGACTTGTGGACAGGGGTTAAAACAGGGCTGGCACAGAGCAAACCCTCTCAGCTGTGACACACTCACAAAGGGGCTTCCTTCGTGCTCCACCAGCATGGCACTTACTTGCCCAAAGAAACCTCCCAGCTGGCAGTCTGGCGAGTGGCCCCACTTTCCACCTTGTTGCCTCAATCACTGCCCTGAAGGTAACTTAGCTCATCAGAAAACCTGTTAACTCCGTCTCTCTTGCAGGAGGCAGTGATTCAGGATGAAAATTTGCTAAACTAACTTGATAAAGCATAATGGTTGTTCTGGGATTCTCACTGAACTGTTTAGAAGGTCTTAGTAGGTCAAAGGAAGTAAAGTTAAATGTTCACTTTAATTATACATGGTAGAACAAAGAATTTGTGAATAAGCCCTTAAGCAGGCCAATCACCTATCAAACACAAATGAGGAAATGCTCAGAGTTACCACTTACCTCTGAGGCTTGTCCGTTCCTGTGCCCAGCAGTTACCAGCCCCTCAAACCTTGTAACCTGCTCTCCCTGGAAAGAAGTCCCATCTCCCCCTGTGTTTCCCTTTCACTGCATCCTGCAGGACTGGAACCCCTCTGTGAGCTGAGGACATACACCCCTCAAGGGAGGGCTGTCTCAGACATCTGATGCTGTATCCAGGGTCAGCACTGAGAGGGCCCACAGGCGGGACACATCACGTGTTCTTGGTTAGCCTATTCCAGGGGCATCAGGGAATGGCTGAATTTGGGGTCCTAGCCAAGAACTGCTTATCACCCCTACTTCCCTCATCAGGCACAACTGACCATGGAGGGACAATGTCTAGAGTCTTGTCAATTAGCTAAAAGGCATGATTTCTAAGACTTTAAGCCCTATCCCATAATATCAAATGAGAGAAAAACAAGGAATGAGGGTGCCAGATTTCTACAGGTTTGATGGGAGTTACAGGGTTAAGTGAAAAGACATTAAACTATGGGGTGCCCACATGGGGACAGCACTGCCCAGGAGTCACCACACACCAGCCCCAGCAGCCCTGTCCCTCCCATTCCAGCCACCAGGCTGGAAGATTGTGATAGTAAACCTAAAGGGCACACCGGGAAGTGCTCCCCGCTATCGGAAGACTAGGAGCATCTGGTGACTGCACTTCCTAGTACACCACTGTGTTCCCTGAAAGGGCTGAGAGCATCTGTGACACAGGGTAAGTCCTCTAGCCACGTCACAACTCCCTGGAACACTCGGTAAAGCAGGAAACAAGCAGAAACAGAATCACAGCCATGCGCCTTGGGGAGGGTGCTGTGCAGTGGCTGCAGAATATGTGTGCCCAGTCGCCTGGGTTTGGATCCTGGCTCTGCCACTTGCCAGTCTAAGATCTTGGGCAAAGTATTTGCTATCCCTGTGCCTCAGTTTCTTCATCTCTAACATGGAGATTCTAGGAGTTTCAGCCTCACTGGGCTATGGCAGGGGTGAAAGAATTTCACACAACAGGCCCTTGAAGAGCATAAGCTAAAGCCCTCATGTGGGTATTTGGGCCAAGAAGAAACCCTATATACATGATAGCTATTATTAATGTATAACTAATATTGATGGTGTCACTACAAGTATATAAATGCACAAATAAGTAGGCTGGGAGTCTCAACCCTGGCTCAACACTATGACTGCCTATAAATTCATCTGCCTTCCTCTCTGAGGCAGGAGCCACACATGGGGTAAGGCCTGCAGCCCAGGAACCCGCATGGTGGCTCCCACTGGCTCCAGCACATGGCCCCACACTCACTCGCCACACTCCTCTGTTCCCTGCATGACTTCTGCTCTGCAGTCCTCTTTGCCTGGGCTTGTAGATGTCAAGGCTGTGGCTCCAGAGCTTTACCCTTTCAAAAGTAAGACACTGAAGAAAAAAAACAGTGATTTGCCAAAATGAACAGCATGGAGTTCTTCCTAGGTTGTGTGAAATGGAGGCCAAAGCTACGGAATTTGTTCTGCAGGGGCTGACTCTGGGAATTAGCAATCCACCCCTTCCGCAGAACTCAGAACCCCAAAGGAATTTCCAGGCATTTCACGGGCAAAGGAAAGGGCAGGTGCTGTCACATTTCATCTGTGTCTATGCCACTGCTTCCAGACTTTGGCCCCAGCTCTGAAGCCAAGGATGAAGTTACATAAAATGAAGAACAATGCAGAAAACAGTACAGAAGACCCCTCAAAACGTCAGACTCAAAATCCTATGATGTTCGTGCTGGAAGGAATCTTAAAATGCGGTGTTCATTTTATACGTACATGAATTAAGCCAGGAGAGGTTAAGGACTTAACAAGGACAGCCAGCCAGTGACAGCCAGGGATGAGAACCCACATAGCCAACAGCACGAAGTGCCATGGGTTTCAGGCCTTAAAGTGACAGAAGCGCCCAGGCTATCCTTGCAGTTCCTCCCCCTTTCCTCTTAATTTGCTTCAGTGAAGGTCACCAGTTAATGTCCCAGTGCTTTTGCTAAATAAGAAGGAATTGCTGTGGGGAGATGATGTGTACAAAGGTTCCTCTGGGGCTGACAGCAGCAGTCCTGGGTGTGTGCACACATAAGAGAGGCAGAGAGGCGAGAGGAAGAGGAGGAGGCCAGAGCTGAGGGCAGGCCAACGGGGCCTTGGTGCAATAGCCACCGTGGTGTGAGCCAGCACAGAGATGAGGGCCACCCACCTATAGAGACCTCGATGGGCTCCATATTCTCGGGCTGCCTCTCTTCACCTTCAGAAGCATCCTGGTCCACATTCGAGCTGTTTCTCTTCTTAACATGGGCAATCACGAAGAAACACAGTCCCACGAGAACAATCAAGGGTCCCATAATCTGCAGGGACAGAAATCCACAGATGTGGGGCTCCCCGTCCGCAGTGTCTGTCTCATTCAGCGCTTCCTGCACCCAGTCCGGGCCACATCCCGGGACCCAAATGCCCAGGA